CAGGTTTGGGAGACAGTGGAAGGCAGATCCTCTGTGAGTTCAAGGCCAGCCTGTCCTACCTAGTAAGTTCCAGGCAGCTGGAACTACAGGGAAACCCTGTCTCAAAAAGACCAAAAAAAAAAAAAACAAACAAAAAAACACATAAAATCTTTATTTTATGTGTATGACTATTTCTCCTCCATGTATGTAAGTGCACCATGTGCATGAAGTGACCTCGGAGGCCAGAAGAGAATGTCAGATCCCCTAAAACTGGAGCTATGGATTGTAGTGAACTGCTATGTGGGGGCTGGGAACTGAACCCAATTCTGCAAGAGCAGCAAGGGCTGTTAACCACTGAGCTATCTCTCCAACCCCTTGTTTTTGTGTTTCTGTTTTTTAATGTGGCACTGGGGATTGAACCCAGGGCCTTGTGAATGCTAGGCAAGCACTCTACCAACTGATCTACAGCCTCAGCTCATTTATTTGCCTTTAAAACCAAGAACAGCTAAGCTATCTGGGTAATGGGGTCTCCCAGAGGGCATGACACTGAAAACGTACCCATACAGAGCCAGGTGGTTCTGCTGCTCTGGGTATCTCTACCAGAACTGGATGTGAGTTGGGGGGTGGCGGGAAGCCAGGTGGGTGCAGTGGCAGGTGCCTATAATCCCAGCCCTGGGGAAGGCAGGGATAGAAGTCTGGGGTTTGCAGGTCAGCTAATCTAGCTGATTTGGTGAGCTCCAGATTTACTGAGAGAGCCAGTCTCAAACAATAGAAGGTGGCCAGGTGTGGTGGTGTATGTTTTCAGTCCCAGCACTGGAGACACAGAGGCAGGTAGATCTCTTTGAGATTGAGGCCAGCCTGGCCTACATAGAGAGTTCCAGGCTCACAAAGGCTACAGATTAAGATTCTGTCTTAAAAATAAAAGAAGAGGAAGAAGGAGGAGGAGGAGGAGGAGGAGAAGGAGGAGGAGGAGGAGGAGGAAGAGGAGGAAGAGGAGGAAGAGGAGGAGGGGATCCAACATTGACTTCTGGTCTCCAAACGTGGGGGCACACATGCACACCTACACATATATGTGCACACACTTGGAGGGTCAGGGATTACAGCAGATTGAAGGCAAACTATGACCTAACCTGGGTCTCAGGCTCCATGAGGAGAGAGTCCCAATTTCCCATTTCCTGTTGTGGTTCTAGCGCCTAGACAGCACTTGGCATACAGCAGGCACTCAATAGATAGCCAGTGAACAGGTAAATGAACACCTTACTTTTCTCCTCTGTAAATAGATACAACAGTTCCCATTAACTACCGACATACAGCAAAATTAGCCCACAACCTAGTGGCTTAAAACAACAATCATTTTATTCTTTTTGTCATTGTGTAAGGGAGTATGTGATGCTGGGAATTGAACTTAGGGCTTCACACACACTAGTCAAGCGATCTACCACTGACCTGTATTTCCAGCCCCTGTGATATGTTTTTTAGGGAGGTTCTCTCTCTGTAGCCCAAAGCTGACTTTGAACTCATGATCCGAGTGACAGTACACCTACCAAGTTACCAAAGGCTCTTTGCAAATACAAGATGCTTATATTTGGATCCTGTGGTTGTCATAGCAAAGCGAAGAGCTGTAAACGATAAGGAATTTCTTTCATCAGGCTCTGGAGATCAGATGTCACGGAAGGCCAAGAAGACAGTGTCTGCAGGGTCCAGGGAAGGGCTTCCTGCCTCTTCTAGCCTCTGGGTACTTTGGGGACTGCTGAAAAGAGATGTTGCTTCATCTCTGTCTTCTTCTTCTTCCTCTTCCTTCTCCTCCTCTTCCCCCTTCCTCCTCCTCCTCCTCCCCCTTCCTCCTCCTCCTCCCCCTTCTTCCTCCTCCTCCCCCTTCCTCCTCCTCCTCCTCCTCCTTATCCTCCTCCTCCTCCTTCTTCTTCTTCTCCTTCTTCTAATAGAACAAGCCTTGTTTGTTTTGGTTTTGCTTTTTGTTTTGGGGAGGGGGTTGTTATTGTTTTGTTTGACCCAGCTGGCCTGGAATCAGGCTACGGTTCTTGCTATGTAGACCAGACTGGCCTCAGTCTCATAGAGATCTGCTTGCCTCTGCCTCCCAAGTGCTGTAAATAAAGGTGTTCAACACCACCTCTGGCCCCCAAAACCACTGTATCAGAAGTGGAACTGAAATTCATGCCTCCATATAGAGACCAGGAACCCCCAGGAAGCAGAAATTTGAGTCTGGCTCCTTAAACTACTGGACCATCCTGACACTTAATTAAAAAGAAAGTTATTTAAAAATGTTATGTGCATGAGTGTTTTGTGTGCATGTATGTATGTGTACCCTGTGTATGCAGTACCCTGGCAGGCCAGAAGGGGGGGTGCTTTGAGTTCCCTGGACCTGGAGTTATGGATGGCTGTGAGCTGCCATGAGGGTGCTCACAACTAAACTCAGGTCCTCTGCAAGAGCTGAGTGCTATTAGGCGCTGAGCCATTTCTGCAGCCCCAACAAGTCTTGATTTTTTTTTAATTACTTCAGAAAGCTTCATAGTTATTTTGTTTTCTGACTCTGCACTGTGCCTTCAACGTTTTCATAACAATTTTCTCCTCTTTAATAAGGAAAGACGTTTGATCCTGTCCCAGACACACTCAGCACACATGAACCACCAGAGACCCCACTAATACGGTTTTTTCTTCTAGACACGCTCAATAAGGACTTTAAGTCTCACAGCACAAACCACTTGATGTCTGCTGGGGCACATGCCACGTGTGGATTTGGAGGTTTTCCCAACTTTCTTGATATAAAGGTGAACAATCTTATCACCAGGGGTTTGGAACAGCGTAGTTTTGTTAGAAGCTATTTTGTAGTAAAGCCTGTACGTCAAATGCTGGATCATTTTGAATGTCTCTAAACACTGTCCCCGGAAAAAGCCTCTGCCTTTGATTTTCAAGGCCCTCTTTCTCCCCCTGCCTGTCTCTGCCTCTCCTTACAAGGACACTAGTCATGTCCGAATGAAGGTTCATATTCAGAGACTCACCTTAACTAATGACATCTGCGAAGATGATATTTCCCAGTGAGACCACATTCTGAGATTCTGGGTGGACATGAATTTGGGGGGACAGAACTTTTCTCAGTATGACACCCCTTTCTCTTTTTCCCTGATCACAGTCACACATTCATTTATCTGATGTGTGTGCATGTGCACATGTGGTGTTCAGAAGGCAACTTGCAGCAGTCAATTCTCTCCTTCCATGCAAGTCCTGGGTATCGAACTCGGGTCATCAGGCTTGGTGGCAAGTGCCTTGACCCACGGAGCTATTTCGTCAGCCCCATCCCTTTTTTTAATCTTCTGTCTTACCTTGCTTTTCCAATCCCTCAAGTTGTTCCCCATGACTTTGAATGGGGTGCAGGTACAGTTCCAGGTAACCAACCACATCCAGGAGGATACAGTCAGCCTGGAGAGATCTAAACCCCGAGCCCAATCATGAGTGATGCCTTCACAGGGGAGTAAGGTCACAGGAAAAAGGCCAGCCAAAGTGCATCTGGGGCCCTGCCAGCACCTCCCCTTCCCATGATGGGGCTGTCACGGGGCTTCTTCCGGTACACCCGGCCCTGTTCCTGCTTCCCCAGCACAGTGTGTCCTCCCTCCAACAGCTATTAATCTCTCATGTGTAGGCTCCGGGCGAGCCCGCCACTCATAATCTCTGTCCTTATGTTTGTCTCCCACTGAAGCCGTTCACGAGTGTGGCCTTCCGGTTGAGTCTGGCTTTCTCCTCCCTCCTGTCCCCGCCCTCTCTGTTTTTCTCCACCCCATTTCTGCAGAGAACTTGGAGCAATAAGATTCACTGTTGGCTGTGCTGGAGGCTGGCACTGTGTAGCCTCTAAAAAGATATATCCATGACCTGACTCCTGGAACTCATACATCAGACTTTATCTGGAAGAAATATCTTTGCAGATGCAATTAAATGAAATATCCCAAGATAAGGTCCCCCTAGATATAAGGTGGGCCCTAAAGTCAATGAAGATTTTTTTTTTTTCTGAGACAGGATTTCATATAGCCCAAGCTGGCCTCAGACTTAAAAAAAAATTTTATTTGTTATTTTTATTTTATGTGTATGTGTGTATTGACTGCAAGTAGGTAAGTGCACCTGGGTCAAGCAATGCCCTCAGAGGACAGAAGAGGCTATTGGATACCCTGGAACTGGAATTATGAACAGTTATTGGTTGCCTGTGGGTGCTGGGATTTGAACCCGGGTCTTCTGCAAGAACAGTCAGTGTTCTTAACCACTGAGCCATCTCTCTAGTCCCCTCAGACTTATTATATAGCCAAAAATGACCTTGAACTTCCAATTCTCCTGCTTCTACCTCCCAAGTGCTAGGATTTTAGGTATGTGCTGCTACGCCTACTTGCCTGGTTTATGCAATGCAGGGGATTGAACCCAGGGCCTCAAACATCTTAGGCAAGCACTCTCCAAACTGAGCTATAGCCCCAGCCCTTGTTGATTTTGGGGGGCGAGGGAGGGATTAAGGGGCTGAGAAAAAGTCTCATATGCAGCCCATGCTGACTCAGAGCTTGCTTTGTGGCCCAGGTTAGTTCAAACTTGCAGCAATTCTCCTGCCTCAGCTTCCTGAGTGTTGAGATTGTAGGCATGCGTCACATGCCTACATGCATCAATGACAGGTGTGCTTATTAAAGAAACAGATGAGCTTTGAGATACAGAGAAGGCTATGTGAGAACACATGGACGAGAGGCCTATGCAAACCAAGGACCACCTGCTGCTACCAGAACCCGGAAGAGCAAAGAAGCATTCTCCTCCAGAGCCGGACGTGGCCTGGGGCTAGCCAACACCATGACTCTGGGCTTCTGGCGCACCGCAGGGCTTTGCACTGGCCATTCCCTCTTCCTGGAACACTAGTCCCACATCTCCATCAAGCACTGGCTCCAACCACAGCTACCTAATGCGTTTTCCCCTGACCTTCCTGCTCGCGGCTCCACGGTGCTGCAACGGCCTCTTCAGTGCTTAACAACATCACTTCTAATACACGAAGCTATTTAGGCATTTGGCTAGTATCTGTCTCCCCAACTCCTCTGCCTATCGTTGTCTCCTCAGTCCAGAGAATGGAGCAGACATTTGATATATATTTGTTGAATGAACGAATGGGAGACTTTCTAGAATAAATGCAGTTACTACAGAGATACCTCTGAACAGCCATGCTTGTCTTTGTTCTGTCCTGGAGGGAACTGGAGGCCAACCAGTCACTCCTTGATCCAGTTCCTTCGAGATCCTCCAAATACCCTCTGATCTGTCCAGTGGAAAGGGTCTGAGCCCCTCCTGGCCTGGTCCAGTGCACGACCGGCCTTGCCAAGCCAGGAACAACAGAAAGTCATGTGTGAGTCACCTCTTACCCTCCTGGCTGGTATGTCCTAGGGCCCTGAATAGAGATAGCGGTGGAGGCTATGTGACAAGCTGAAAGGATGCCTTAAAATAAGTCCCCAATGGGGCCATGTGATTGCCCTGGCTCCTTCCTGCCCCACTTTTGGGTTCTGAAGTGTTCCCATCTTCCCCACATAGAGGGCCCAGCTCAGTCATTCTGACCCAGGCATTGTGAGAAAATTGTCTCAAGGGAAGCCATGGCAGCCATAAGGGGAGCATCCAAGCTCAAAAGCAGTTATGAGTGGCTAGGGATGTGGCTCAGGTTGGTAAAGCGCTTGCCTACCATACACAGATCCCTGAGTTCCATCCCCAGCTCTGCATATACCGGGTGTGGCAGTGCTTGCCTGTAATCCTAGCTGGGGAGGTAGAGGCAGGAGGACCAGGAGTCAAGGTCATCTTTGGCTATGTTTAGAGTTCAAGGCCAGCCTGAGATGCATAAGATCCTGTGGAAAGGAAAGAAGGAAGGAAGGGAAGGAAGGGAGGAAGAAAGGGTAAATAGATGTTAGTCTTACCAGCATGTGAGAGGCTATGCTGTGTTTGAATGTGTTCCTCAAATTCATGTATTAATCCCCAAATGCACATGTTAATGGAAGCAGGGCTTTGGGAGGTGACTGGGTTATTCCATTCATAGATGCATGTCTTATTTCTGCAGAGGCTTGATCACAAGGAAAGCGCTCTCTAGCTGCCTGCTTGGTCTTGCAAGGTGATACCCTCTGCCACACCACAATGTGGCAAGAAGTCTGTCCTCCTAGATGTTGACACCATGGCCTTGGATTTCCAGTCACCAGAACTGTGAGCTAAACAATTCTCTTTTTTTATATGAAGCATCCCACCTTGGGTATTTTGTTATAGCAACAGAAAACAGAATTACATGCCAGTAGGTAGAGAACACAACAAACAGTGTTGCCTGGAGAGATTGTGCTGCCACTGTATGTCTATGGGTGGGGTCATCTGGGGAGGAGCAGTTTGAGATTCAGTGGCTGGACTAGAGGAGTAGTTCAGTGATAGGAGTGCTTGTGTAACATGCGAGAGGCCCTGAGTTTGACCCTCAGGACTGAAAAACAAAACAAAACATCAAAGCTCAGGCTGGGGGTGTAGCCCAGTTGTTGCCTAGGACACACAAAATTTTGGGTTCAATCCCCAGCATAACATTAAACTGTTGGTTGTGCATGTCTGTCATCCCAGTAGTTGGGAGGTAGAGGCAGGAGGATCAGGAGCATCCTCAGCTACATAGTGAGTTCAAGACCAGCCTGGGCTACATGAGACCTTGTCTCAAAAAGAAAGAGGGGGGAGAAGGAAAGAAGGAAGGAAGGAAGAGGAAATTTCAATGAGAAGAGATAGAAAGGAGCAGAGTTCAGAAACAAGGCAGAGACAAAAATCTCCAGAAGGAAAAAGCCTAACACGTTAGAAGCCAGACCCTCTAGAGGCAGCTGTGAGCAGCTTTGTTGCCTGAGGTCGAAGGCAGCTTGACTGCAGTCAGTCCCGCATTAAATAAGTCCTATCTACAATCTAGAGTGACCCTGTCACATAGTCTAAAGTGCCCCTCCCACACCTCTGGCTCACAGCATAGGCCACAAGTTGACCAAGCCTACTTCCCAAAGGTGCAGAGCTGCCTCCGTTTCCCTCGGAAACCTTTAAGAATAGGTATCTCTCAGGGCTGGAGAGATGGCTCAGCGGTTAAGAACACTGGCTGCTTGTGCTGAGGACCCAGGTTTGGTTCCCAGCACCCACATACATGGCAGCTGACAACCATCTGCAATTCCAGTTCCAGGGGATCTGACACCCTCTTCTGGCCTATGTTGGCATTGCATGCATATGATGCTCTTACATACAAGCAAGCAGAAAGAACATTCATACACCATAAAACAAAAATAAACAACAAAGAAGAGTAGATACCTCGCTTTGTCTGTTAGGATGGAAATTCTGCTTCAGACCTTTTCTAGTTATCCTCCAATTGCTGTGACAAAACACTCTGACCAAAAACAACTTGAGGAGGAAAGGGTTTATTTGACTCACATCTCCTGGGTCACAGTTCATCACTGAGGGAACGCAAGGTAGGAACTCAGGGTAGAAACCTGGAGGCAGGAACTGAAGCATAGACCATGGAGGAATGCCGTTTACTGGCCTGCTCCTCTGGCCCGTGCTCAACCTACTTTCTTATACAACACAGGCCCATGTGCCCAGGGGTGGCACCACCCACAGTGGGCTGGGCCCACCCACATCAGTCAATAAGCAAGAAGATGCCCCACAGACATGGCCACAGACCAGTTCAATGGAGGCAGTTTACCAGTTGGGGCTCCCTCTACCAGGTGTATCAAGTTGGTAACTAAAGCTATCCAGCACAAGACCCTACTGTACGGCTGGTGTTATTAAAGACCTTTTGCCTGAAAGGGTGCTCGGACTCAGAATCTCTCTATCAAACCCTAAAACCTAACACAACACTAAGTGAGCAGACTCTGAACTCAAGTCTGGGATTTGACAGGACAGCACCAGCTGTAGGATGGACAGAGGCTTCAAGGTGAGTGGACGAAGATGAGGAGGTTAAAGGGCTACATATAAAGCACTGCTTCTGGAAAATCTGATGAACAGACGAGGTAGCTGAGTGCCACAGGGGTCCCTTCACCGTCTTCCACTTTATGGTCACCTGACATCCTTCGGCAGAGATGGCATCTGCTATCAATTTCTCTGGAGACACCTGGGTCTGTTTTAACCAGTGTAAAACAATGGTGGAGACACCACACCAGTTCCAAGTCCAGCCCATAAGAGGACGAACAGTTTCCACTTTCAGACCACTTGCCACCAGCCGTAGAAAGCTCAAGCTGGCCACGTGAGTGATAAGCCTGCATCTGTTCTGGCCACCCCAGCCCAGATGACAGCAAATGGCAAAGTCTTCAACAGACTCTAGCGGCCATCACCTGGCTACCACATTCAGAAGAGGAACCCCCAGTCAGAGCTGTGCAACGGATGTCCATCATGGCAAGGAGGCCAACACAACAGTTGCCCCACCAACCACCAGGACTGGGAGATACACTTGAAAGATGGTCACTGTGTGCCACCAAGTTTTGAGTGACCTTTTTATATAGCAGATCAGCAAAATACCAGAAGAGTGGTCTCAGGGATAGAGCTTAGCTGGTAGAATGCTTTTCTAGCATGCATGAAGCCCCAGGTTCTATCTCCAGCACTGCACAAAGAGGGCATGGGGCCCATACCTGTGATACTGGCACTGAGGATGTAGAGGCAGGAGAGTCATGCATTTGAGGCCAATCTGGGCTCTATGAGATCCTGATACACACACACACACACACACACACACACAGCATGCCATATATGTGATCTATATTATATATAAATATCATGCCTTCATCACGTTCTGCTTCCTGATTGTGGGTGTGATATGACCAGCTGCTTGGAGCAACTATTGTGTTGACTTCCTTAGGATGACAGACTGTACCGTTGAACTGGGAACCAGAATAAAACCTTTTCCTTCATCGCCATTAAGATACTCCAGTCAGAGTACTTTTAACAGGAAAAGAACCTAAGACAGAAATTAGTACCAGAAGCAGGGTCATTGCTATAATGAAGACGAGTTTGGAACTTTGGTTAGAAAAATCCCTTGAATGTTGTAGTAGAGCTTGATGGACCATCCCTGTGAGAGCTTGGAAGAGGTAAGGTGTGTGAACAAGCTTAAAATTTCAGACAAGGAGCATGTGGGCAATAAAACAACTGTGGTTGTTAAAGAGAAACCTGGTGCTCAGCACTGGGGCAGTGTGAGGGATACCTTGAGGGCAAGACCCCACTCATTAAAGGCTCCTACTTGTAAAAATGCATGCCCTTAATCCCAGCACTTGGGAGGCAGAGGCAGGTGGATCTATGTGAATTCAAGGTCAGTGTGGTCTACATAGCGAGTTCCAGGACAGCTGGGGCTACAGGGAGACCCTGTCTCAAAAAGACCAAAAGAAAGAGCCGAGAGTGGTGGTGCATGCCTATAATCCCAGCACTTGGGAGGCAGAAGCACGTGGATCTCTGTGAGTTCAAGGCCAGCCTGGTCTACATAAAAAAAAAAAGAAAGCTAGCTGAGCAAGCCAAGGGGAAGCCAGCCAGTAACAGCGTTCCTCCATTGATTTCTGCTTCAAGCTCCTGCCTTGAGTTCCTCCTTGGCTTCCCTTCTTATTTATGTAAGAATAAATAATCCGGGGGCTGGAGAGATGGCTCAGTGGTTAAGAACATGACTGTTCTTGCAGAAGAGCCAGGTTCAATTCCCAACACCCACATGGCAGCTAACAACTGTCTGTAACTCCAGTTCCAGGGGATCTGACAGCCTCTTCTGTCCTCTGTGGGCATTGCACGACATGGGTGCACTTACCTACATGAAGGCATAACATTCATACACATAAAATAAAAATAATAATAATAAAAGAAGAAATAATCCTCGCCAAGTGTAGTGGTACACACCTTTAATCCCAGCACTCAGGAAGCAGAAGCAGGCAGATCTCTGTGAGTTCAGGGCCAACCTGGTCTACATAGTGAGTTCTGGGCCAGCTGGGGATACAGGGAGACCCTGTCTCAAAAAGACCAAAAAATAATAATAATAAATAACCCTTCTCAAGTTACTTTTGGTCATGACATTTATCACAGCAAAAGAAAATTAACTAGAACAACCACATTAACACTTGCTAACATATGCTCTGGAATTGTGACACTGATGATACACCCTTGGGAGGTGTCTGTCCCCCCAGGGCCTCTTTTCCTCAGAGTCTCATTTCTGGTGCAAGGCTGGATGTGCTAATGGGAAGTCACTTGATTCGATGAGGTGGCACTGGGGAGGGGCCCACATCTCCGGTGTCCAGACACCCTTTTTCATCCCATTATGAGTTGACTTGGTGGGGGGAGAAGACATTGGCACCTGGCGATATGTCAGAAGGCATTCCTGTGTGAGCTCATCTCTGGGCCAGGCTCTCAAAATTCCATTCACATCAGCTCCCTTCATTAAGGAGTGGATGAAGGGTCTACATTCCAGAAGTTCCTTGTCATACCCAAGTTTTTAATCAGTTGACACTAGAGAGTTAGCATCCCTGTGCTGAAAGGCTCACAAGGTTGGGGGGGTTGTAAGAGAATGGGAGGGGTATCAGAATGGTGTGTGAGCCATCCCACATAGGTGTTTCTGGTCTGGAAATCTGTTGGAGAGCTTGAGAGTTTGCGTAAAATTCACTCTGTAAGATCAGCACCACGGACAGCAAGCAGCGCACCAGGACCGTGGGCAGACAGGCAGAGTGCTAGGACGTCAGGCAGGGACTGGGTTACAGGTTCTAAGGAAACTCTCCAAGGAGGCAGGTGGTGGTGGGTGTTGGCTGGGGCTGTTTTCAGTGAGTCACCCCATACACCCCACGCTTGAGGCGTGTCTGGGAAAGCTGGGGTTCTCCCTGCCATTTCCAGGAGGGGTGCTGGATGTTAAGGCCCCCAGATTTTTTTTACACAAAAGGAGGGAGCAGGAAACAGATGTATTTGTGTCCTCCACACACTCCCATCCTGGCCCAGCCCATACTTCTATACTAGGCCTGCTCTCCCCAGCCTCCACCTCACCAGGAGCATTCCTTACAGGCATGGAGGGGTGAATTCTCAGGCCCTGAGCTCAGCAGGCCGGAATGTGGCTGATAAATCAGAGATAAACCCCCCTCCAGGGGAAGGGCTGGAAGGACACCCAGCCCAAGGATAAAAGGCAGAGGTGTCGGTTGCCCAAGAAGCCAGAGCTGCTTGAGGAGGTGGGACAAGAACTCCACAAGGCAGTAGCACCAGCCTCAGCCTCAGCAGCAGCAGCAGCAGCAGCAGACCGACCTGTGACATGGACTTCCAGACTACATTGTCCCGACCGATTGTGCTCCTTCTTTTCTTGTGTCTGTCACAGCTGGGAGGTCATTGCCACCCTCTAGGTAGTCCCAGCCAGTCTTCAGAACAGTCTGAGATGCAGGTGAGTGCTGAGGGACTACACAGACAGATGTGATCTGCCTGAAGGGTTTGGACAATAGCAATGGAAAGGACCCATGTCCCTTAGGAATTAGCAATGAATCAGAAAGCAGAAAGATCGGGTGCTACGGCCCCTCAATCAGTGGGCACCATGGAGGGTGGGGGTGCCAAGGGCATATTCCTGAGGCCTGGGCTCCCCACTCACTGCAGAAGCTGCTAGATCAACTGAGGAACAAGATCTTGGGAGTGCAGACAGAGATGGCCCAGGAGCAGCTCCAGCAGAATCAAGGCCCCACAGAAGCTCGGGAGACTAAGAAAGCAGCTCCAGAGGGCATCCTTGCACCCCAAGACAGTGCTTTCCAGGCCCTGCAGAGACTTCGCAACCCCAAGATGATGCGTAATTCAGGCTGCTTCGGGGGACGGTTGGATAGAATAGGCTCCTTCAGTGGCCTGGGCTGCAATGGTGAGTTCCCACCTTGCCACACCCCTACAAACTGCACAGCCACCCAGCCCACCCCCTGTTCCCATGCATGCCACCAGTAGAGGCCTCTGGGCTTGCTGTCTGCTACACCTGTGTCTTTAGGGCCAAGGGGATCTGTCAGGAAATATCAATTGGGGACATTCATTATATGCCCACGGGTCCCAATTTCCCTTCAATCCACCTTCTGGCTCTTAACCAAAGGAGTAGACTCTCTCCAGGTGGAGTCTGCCTGTTACTTGGTGGCCCTTTCTAGTCCTAAGAATTTTTTGTCCCCATTCCCCAAAACCAGATCCTCAAAGACAAAGAGGCAAATTACCAGGATAACCTCAATTTACAGAGGAAACTGAGGCCCAGTGAGATGGACTTTTTTTCCAGAGCCTCAAACATCAAAATCATTTGAGGACTGAGGGTGGTGTGTGGTGAAGGAAGTCCAGCTCCTGCCTCAGTTTCCCTCCCAAGGCCATCATCACTCCCATCTTTTCTCCCCACAGTGCTGAAGAAGTATTAGGGAGATCCTGCCTGCAGACACCTGCATCTGACTCCGCTGGGGGCTCTTTCCCCAACCCCGTGGCCCCCTTTTGAAGTGATCCTATTTATTTATTTATTTATTTTTATTTATTCGATTGTTTTCTATAAGACAATTTCTTACCTTTGAGCACAAACTTTCCATGGTAAAATAAACTAATCATATAGTTCTTGCTTTTGAAATGAGCTTGTCTCTGTGTCTTTAAAACAAACTCACATTTTGAAAAGAAAAGAAACAAACCATACAATGGGTGTTTTCTGAAAGGCCCCTTAAGGCATCTTAATGGTGGGGTGGGGACACAGTTCAAGGGCTGAGCCAGTGAGGTGGCCAGCCCTTCTTTTCTTTCCGGGTTTTTAATGCTCTGAGATGTCAGTCTGCACCTCAAGCACCGAGACACTTTGTGGAAACTGCTTTTCGAAGCTGTACTGTCTTCCTGGGAGGGGGACAACGGGAGGGTGGGTACCAAGGTATTGGCTCTGCTCTTCTTCCTAGAATTCTATCCTCAAGCACTTTCCTGGGTCATTATTGTTCCTAGAAGTTCCTAGATGTCAGAGATGCTGGCTCCTACGTGCGTGCGTGCGTGTGTGTGTGTGTGTGTGTGTGTGTGTAATACTAGCTTACAGCACTCCTGATGTGTGTGAACCCTCTAGCCTTCCTCAGATCTCAGCTTCAAACCTCCAATTTCTAATGATTTTGTCTTAAAAAACCCCAACTGCAAGGTTTCAGGGGCTTGACAGGGGCCCAGCCATTCATCTCTCCTCTCCAAGGGCCACATTGTACTTTCTTCTTCACTGTAGAGTGAGGATACAACCCTCAGAATCCGAGTGTGTGAGCTGGGTTCAAGGCCATTCTCAGCTACATAGCTTGAGGCTAGCCTGAGCTACACGAGACCCTGTCTCAAAACGTGCCACCCCCCCCTCACTGGAAAAAAAAATCCTAATGTGTAGTCTTAATCAACAGGAGACGCTGTTAGGGTCACCGCCATCTCATCTCTTTTTAAAAATTACTTTGTTCTTATTATTGGGGGGGGTGCATGTACCAAGGAGTGGGCACAGAAGCCAGAGGACAATTTTCAGGAATCAGTTCTCTCGTTTCACCATGTGGATTCTGGGACCAAACTCAGATAATCAGCCTTGGCAGCAAGTGCCTTTACCTGCTGAACCATCTCACTGACCATATTTATTTATCTCTCTGTGTGTGTATGTGTGAGAGAGAGAGAGGCAGAGAAACAGAGAGACAGAGACAGAGAGAGACAAAGACAGAGAGATGGAGAGACGGGGAGAGAGACAGAGACAGAGAGACAGAAACAGAGAGCATGTGTGTGTGTGTGTGTGCATGCATAGTTATGCCAGTTGTGTGGTGGTCAGAGGACAACCTGCAGGAGTTGGTCCTCTCCTTCCATCACGTGGCTTCCAGGAATTGAACTCAGACTGCTGGTCTTCACGGCAGGCACCTTTACTCACTGAACCATCTCACTAGCCCCAGTGCCATCTCTTCTAATGAGTCCTGTATCTGTGTCTCCTGTGTTCCTGAACCCTGTCCTTTGAATGCCACGTATGATCTGAACTTAGCTAAGAGACAGAGTCCCCAAGGCCAATATTGTTATGATCATTGTCACCCCCCTTTTTTGAGTGAGAAAACTGACACTCAGAAAAGTCATGCTTCCTGGGATGTGAGGGGACAGCATGGCTGCCACACCTGCGCTGCCTGACCTCTGAACTCACGAGCTCTCCGGGGTCTTTCGGATTTGCTCTTGTGTGATTCCTCCTTTTGACCCAGTGTGGACTCACTGTGACTATCTAATGAAATCAATTAAGATTTTTTAAAAATGAGGTTTGAAGAGCAGTTTATTTTCCAAGAAACCGTGAGTCATCTTTGTCTAATGCTTCTGGCTCAAGGAGGACAAGGAGAAGCTGGAACAGTTGGTGTGGATCAAGACCTCGTTAACATGGCAGGCACAGTTTCGTCAGCTGGGACAGCCCTCACGACTCTGAGAATACGCAGGTTGTGTCATTTTCTCAGAGTCATGAAGTTAGGAAACAGCAAAGCCAGGATCTGACCTGGGCTCTAACCACTGCCTCGAGTAGCCTTTTCCAAGTCAGGGACCTAGCTTGCTGGTGGGATGGATGTCCCACCCCACAAGACGTCGTATTGATCCACGTGTGGGCCACAGCCTGCTGGTAGCCCTCTGTACTCTCCAAACACTCACTCTTACGTTCTCTAGAGAATGTAAGAACTCTTCCAGGTGAGTCTGGCTCAACTGCAAACGGGAGTCAGCTGGTGGAGCCCAGAGTCATGCTGCACCTCAGTTCTTGGGTCTTTTCCCCAAACAAAGACCCAAGAAAGAGGAACTTGGAGTGCTTATTCTGGAGCCAAATATGGCTGCTGGGTCTAGGTAGTGAGTAGTGTGCTGTTCCCAGCCAGAGGGCCTCTCCCTGAGCTCCCATGAGGACGGGGACAAGAGGAAGGTACTGCCCATGGATGCCCTTTAAAACCAGCATCCCAGGATGGGGATGAGGCTCCACAGTACAGCACCTGCCTCACAGATTTAGTCTCCAAGACACTCCACTCCCCACCACCTGGACTCTACACATACGTACATACATGGGTTTAGAGTGACACATATATGCACATGCACATATATCACACACAAATGATAAATAAATAATTGGAGACACAATTCCATCAGTTCCATTCCATCCATTAAGTGATTGACTACTCCATACAACTGAATGTCTGAATATTTGTTTTTTTCCTTTTTTGAGACAGGGTCTCCCTGTAGCCCCAGCTGGCCTGAAACTTGTTAGACCAGGTTGGCCTTGATCTCACAGAGATCCACTTGTCTCTGCCTCCCAAGTGCTGGGACAAAAGGCATGCACCACCACACCTGGCTATGTCTGAACACTTCGAGCTTTAATTTTTTTATTTTATTATTTTTATGCGTAGGCATGTATTGCCTGCATGTAGGTAAGTGCACTCATGTCCTGCAATGCCCACAGAGGACAGAAGAGACTGTGGGACCCCCTGGAAGTGATGTTATGGACAGTTGTTAGCTGCCATGTGGGTGCTGGGATTTGAACCTGTGTCTTCTGTAAGAACAACCAGTGTTATCAAGCACTGAGCCATCTCTCCAGCCCCCTGAATACTTCTGAACCCAGATCTGTTTGCACTCTTGGACAATGGTTCCAGCTCTTCTTTTTCTGACACTGCCAGACTTGTGGCCCTGAGCTTGCTGCCTTGCTGTGTGCTGGATGCTGGCCTTGAGCTTTTTATGTTTTGGTCTTTTTGAGACAGGTTTTCCCACATCTGGATTATGGGGTGCCTGGGGATCGAACCCAGGTATTCATGCATGCTAGGCAGGCGCTCAACCAGCTGAGATACATCCTCAGTTCCAGTCCGGTACTTTTGCTGGAGGATGCCTCTGGCCTTCAGAACAAACTAGGCTCCCCAGCAACAGCAGGAACTTCAGGGAAGAGACATCTGTCCAGAGCTGTATTCAGGCAACCCCTGGAAGACCTCACCGGCTTGGCTTGCAGGTGACACACATTTTACTCTTTTTAAAAAAAACTTATTTCAATTTTATGTGTATTAGTGGTTTGCATGTATGTAAGTGCACCTATGTTGTGCAATGCCTGCAAAGGCCAAAAAAGGGCTTCAGGTCCCCTGGAACTGGAGTTAGGAACTGTTGTGGGTACTGGGAGTCAAACCCCAGTCCTCTGTAAGAGCAGCCAGTGCTCTTAACTGCTGAGACATCTCTCGCTCAGGGTTCTCTGTGGGGAAGGGGTTTGAGCTGCAGCTAGGGCAGCTGCCATTCTACTTTCCCTGAGTCACAGCTCTCTTCTCCTGTAGACATTTCCTGTGATTGTCTCCAGAAGAAACCACTTGTGTTTGGATTCATCTCATGTTTAGGAAAATCTAAACTAAGAGACACCCAAGTGACTAATCCAACTGCCAGCACCACACCCTGCACCCTGATGAGGTAGCCTTTGGAACCCCCCCCCGGGTGGACCACCGCCCAAGCACCCTGATGAGGTAGCCTTTGGAACCCCCCC